CAGAAGAATCTATTCTTGCAAGAATAACTTCTTTCAGTTGCAATATTCTTGGATCGAGTCTTAGTGAATCCATGAATCTCTTGCTCTGCTTCCTCGTATCTATTGCAAAACATAGAAACTTCAGTCAGGCTTTACTTGATTCTTTCCAAAAGTAGGGTAAAGATTAAATATGAAAAAGTAAATGGATTTCAAGAAATACGCATAACATATGGACCCAACAATCTCAAATATTTATGTGTAGAGAGCTCTAAAAAGTTGCAAGCACCATGAATTATTGAAGAAAAGTGGAGAAAAACTATCAGGTGAATAGCTTGGCCAATAGGGCAAAAATCTTGCTCCTGCCTATTTACCTCGTCTTCGCCTTTTTTTAATCGGTTATAGCCAATTCAATCTTCTCTGTTTTTAACCAAGTAGATTGCTCTGTTTTTTTGTTAATTATACATCGGTGAAGCTATATAAACAGTTCAATGTAACTTTACAAGAAGTACAATAACCAACACAAAAATATCATCAAAATACGGAGTTTGACACAGAGAATGACTAAGCATAAGTGAAAGGCTGTAGTGTATATATGGTTGCTTATTCTATATATCTCATATAGTTGTAGAGCAACGAGTCCCTTGTATTGAAGCTAATGGAGCAGTGGTCGTGTTGGTTCCAAAAGCTACGATTGCAACACAATTCACATTGAACCGGTATGCACCAGAGACCCATGTCCCGATCTTCCACCGTAACTTCCCGTCCATCTTCATACCGAGGATTACTTTACCGGCTGACCGATCACGGCCGATTAGATAACCAAAGGACTGAGCAACGGGTAGCTCGGTCCCTTGAAGAAACGCTGTCAAGAGATTGATTTCTTCGTGGGATTGATAAAAAGGCGGTAGAGAAGCCTCTGATGTGATCTGTTGTCCTCTATAGGCTGCGTATACGAGTAGCTTGTCGTAGTAGATTCCAACTTTTTTGTTAGGGTTTTTGGAGAAGAGAGTGAGTTGGACTGATGAGTTGAGGAGATGAGTAGTGGAGGAGGAGAGATTGAGGGTGTAGATATCGGCTTCCGTGAGGGAGAACTTGTGGATGATGAGCCAAACTAGGAAGATAAGGAGTGTTAGGATATATGGAAATATTCAGATTATGTGTATCAAAGATATATTGTTAAGATACACTTGTACGTCTATATATATGTAATCTCAATGTCAATATACGGGCACGGAGCAT